CATCGTATACACCCACCAGGTACCCAAATTCGCCTCTTCGGCAACACACCTGCCAGCGCTGCCTCCCAATTCGCCTTAGTCTCAATCGACGGCTCCCCGCCCACCCAATCATCATATGGGGACTCCCAGCCCCCTTCTGCAGTGCAGTGGTACCAATCTCCCATCCTTCCGGAGGGACTACATACCATCAACATAACTCGCATCGCTGGGACGTCGCTGGACTATGCTGTTGTGGCTTCGGGCCAACAGACACCTCTTGTGGGTCTGGGACAGAGGCTGATCGTGGATGACGACGACGATGCGCTCACGTATACCGGGAGCTGGACACGCATGGAAGGCGCGTATGAGTCGAGTGACAATCCGCATCGCGGGATGCCATATGGGAATGCGACGCACGAGTCGAGTACGCCTGGGTCGGCAGCGACGTTTTTGTTCAGTGGTGCGTACGGGTCTTCCAACTGTATTGGTATCCAAGACTAAAGTCGTATCACAGGGAACAACGTTACTGTATACTCAATCGTGGATTACTCCCACCTCGGCTCCGTCACAGTGCGATACACGTTCTCCCCCCTCTCCTCTGCCATCCCCGCCGGCCCCTCCTCACAAACCCTGACCTTCGCTGTCACGCCCGCAACACCCCAATACATCTCCGGCGTCCTCCAACGCGAAAACACGCTGCTCTACGCCTCGCCCGCGTCTCTGCCTCCGGGGAACTGGAACCTCACCATGGAGGTGCTGGGCAGTACGAACGGGACGGCCGTGAACATTGATTATATACTGTATAGTCCGGGGTTTGCGACGCTTGCGGGGAAGCCGAGTCTGGGTGCGCCGGCGGGGACGGGGACGGGGACGACGAGTACCACTGTGGCAACGCCTACGGAGACGGGCGGTGTTACTAATGGGATGAGAGAGAAGAATGGTGGGGTCCTGGTGGGCGCGGTCGTGGGAGGTGTGGTAGGAGGGGTTGTGGTGCTCGCTCTCTTGTTCCTCGTCCTGATTATGTATCGGAGGCGAGCAGCAGAGAAGCGTGCGTTATCCGAGTTACCGTCTACTGCGTCTATTGTAGGAGAAAGAGAACGTACGTCCGCACTGCCCTTCCGGCATGTTGACAATACCTTTCTGACGTCCTGAACAGCAGGAGGCTCCTTCTCCATCGACCCCTTTACCGCGGCGCCTGTACCCGCAGCCTCGTACTACAGAAAAGGCCCCACGCATGTCTTACCACTTGATCCGTCGCTCCCCCCCACCACATCGCACAACCCCTCCAGCGGGAGTTACAGTAGAAGCGGCAGTCCCGTCGCCACCACCATACACTCTCTAGAACCTGCTACACTCCCCACCAGCAGGCCGATGGTACAGCACAAATTATCCCCGTCATCATCATCCATCCTCAGCTCCATCCCGCGTCCAAGTATCAGTTCCATCACCCCTTCGCCGCTCGTGCCATTCCTAGGCGCTAACAGTGACTCGGACGGATACTTTCCACAGGATCAACCAACTTCGCCTAGTACCCGAGTGGAGGATTTGGTCCGAGAGTTGGAGGCTGCCGCGGCGGGTGGGGAGAGGGAGAAGGCTGCTGAGTTGCGTGGGCGAATTGCTGAGCTTACGCGGCAGGTTGGGGGCTCGACGAGTGGGAGGGAGATGGTAAGTGAGGTGCCTCCGCCCTACAGAGATGATCGGGATGTATGATGGTGGTGGGTTTACCGCACAGGTCATTAATAGACCTACGATGTATTCTATGTACGGGTTTTATGACCTACGATGAGCTAGTGTTGCGATGTCTGGTAGGCTCCAGTTGCAAGGAAAACATTAAATTCAGGACTCGAGTAGGTAGTGCAGCCATGTCGACGTCTACGTTGTGAGCTGTTCAAGATACATACGCAAGGAGCAAACAAAGGGAAGGTATATTTATGTTGCTATCTCAGTCTGAAGGATCAGACCGATGTATTGGGGATCGTTCGCGCCCTTGCTTCATGGCAGGGCGATGATCTTCAGTGTACCAGCTGCTCCGCGTCAACGAAGAGCTCCTAGAAGCGCTCGGCAGCTCCGCACCGCACCTGGTGGACTATCGTGGTTCTCCATTGCGGCGTTGAAGAGCCTGATGGTGGAGTGGAGGAAGGTGTTTCTGGCGGAGCATCCAATCAATTTTCTACATATGGGGGCTTCCGAGTCGTCAGATATCGTGACGCGGGGCACCAGATATGATTATTCCGAATTCGGTGATCACCATCAGTTGATCAAAACGGAAGTTTTTCTTGTCGCACAGCCACGTTTGACCTCGTTTAACCTCCTGCACCCACCGTTTTCGACGAATCGTCGTGCCTAGCACATGCCCGACTGACTACCTATGCTATCCTCCAGTTTCTCGGCTATTCAGACTTCTATGGCTGAGGATTAAGATAAGGGGATCTGACAGCACATGTGGCCGTTGTTCCACTTTGAACGTGAAGTCTACACACATTGAACAACGATCACTCCTCTGCAGCGAGACTGGCGTTTTATATGGCCTGCATACTCGTACGTTTCATGTTCGTTGGACGGGAGCAGAAATAGATCTGTCTGTCGAAAGTGACACTGACTGACATACACCGCCTACAGGATAATTGAATACAGATTCCATCACGATGAGTCTCGTTATCGTTCACATCGGACGCCCTATCGAGACTTCACGTACCAACCACGTCGGAGAACCATATCTTCTGCTTCTTAACTTTTTATTCTCTGCGCACACTCTCAATCAAAACGAGGTCAGGAGGAATTGAGGCATGGCAAGTGTCATCTGGGATGAGAGCGACCCCAACTTCAAACTTTCCTTCGGCGGCGGAACGTGGAGCAAAGTGACCACCGAGCGGTTCTTCGGCGGGGCAGCCATCTGGCCTGCATTTGCTGCGACGGAGAAGGGCGACACGGGAGCGTACGGCTGGCTGTCGATTACTTTCGACGGTGCGTACTTCATCTTCATGCCCTCACCTCTCTCCTCCTTACCTATCACAAAATTCATGTCGTATACACCCAACAGGAACCCAAATTCGCCTCTTCGGTAACACTCCTCCCGCTTCCGCTTCCCAGTTCGCCTTTGTCTCAATAGACGGCTCTCCGCCCACTCAAACATCATATGGGGACTCCCAGCCCCCTTCTGCAGTGCAGTGGTATCAGTCCCCCGTCCTCGCGGAGGGACGACATACGATCAACGTCACACACATTGCTGGGACGTCGTTGGACTATGCTATTGTGGCTACGGGGCAACGGACGCCTATTGTGGGCTTGCGACAGAGGTTGATCGTGGACGACGACGACGAGGCGCTCACGTACACCGGGGGCTGGACACGCAAGGAGGGCGCGTATGAGTCGATCGATGATCCGCATCGCGGGATGCCATATGGGAATGCGACGCATGAGGCGAGTACGCCTGGGTCAGCGGCGACGTTTTTGTTCAGCGGTATGTCCTTGTCTTCACACCTTACGGAAAGTCGAAATTGACCAATGTTGCATAGGGAACAACGTTACCGTCTACTCAATCGCAGACTACTCCCACCTCGGCTCCGTCACAGTGCGATACACCCTCTCCCCTCTCTCCTCTTCCATCCCCGCCGGCCCCTCCTCCAAAACTCTAACCCACGCTGTCACCGCCTCGACACCCGAACACATCTCCGGCGTCCTCCAACGCGAGAACACACTACTCTACGCCTCGCCGGCGTCTCTGCCCGTGGGGAACTGGAACCTCACTATGGAGCTGCTGGGCAACACGAACGGGGCTTCCGTCAACATCGATTATATACTGTATAGTCCGGGGTTTGCGACTCTTGCGGGGAAGCCGAGTTTGAGTGCGCCGGCAGGGACGGGGACGGGGACGGGAACGAGCGAAGTGTGGGCGGCGACAAGTACGAGGACTGCGGCGCCGCCTACGCAGACGGGTGGTGCTTTTAATGGGGTGGGAGAGAAGAATGGTGGGGTACCTGTGGGCGCGGTGGTGGGAGGTGTGGTAGGCGGGATCGTGGTGCTCGCTCTCCTGCTCCTCATTCTCACTTTGTGCTGGAGGCGGGGAGCAGCAAAGCGTGCTTCATCTGAGTTCCATTCCACTGTGCCTACTCGAGGACAAAGAAAACGTACGTCCACCCGCCCTTCCCGCATGTTAACACCCTTCTCAGACGCCTATTTGACGTCCTGAACAGCAGGAGGCTCCCTCTCCATCGAGCCATTTCCCACCACGCTACCCGTAGCTTCAGCAACAGCTGTGTACAGCAAAGGCTCCACGCATGTCTTTCCACTCGTTCCCTCCCTCACCCATACCGCATCACATCACCCCTCCAGCGGCAGTAGAAGCGGCAGCGGGAGCCACGCCGCCATCGCCGTGCGCTCCCCAGAACATGTCATCCCACTCCCCACCAGCAGGCAGACGGTACAGCACAAATCATCCCTGTCATCATCATCCATCCCCACCTCCATCCCGCGCCCAAGCATCCTTTCAGCCGCCACCCCTTCACCGCTCGCGCCTCTCTTAGGCGCTAGCAGAGACTCGGACGGGTACTTTCCACAGCATCAACCGACTTCGCCCGGTACGCGAATGCAAGAGCTGGTCCGGGAGTTGGAGGCTGCCGCGGCGGGTGGCGAGAGAGAGCGGGCTGCTGAGCTGCGAGGGCGGATTGCTGAGCTTACGAGGCAGGTTGGGGGTTCGACGAATGGGCGGGAGAGGGAGGGTGGTGTGCCTCCACCCTATAGTGATGACCGGGGTTTATGATGGGTTTACTGCGCAGGTCATAAGTCAACCGTGCGCGGTTTGTTACCTACCACGAGATGTTGTTATGTTGGCAGTGACGAAAAGCTTCAGTTGGAAGGGAAACATCGCATAAATCTCGGATTCAATATCATTTATTGAAACTGAGCTCGTTCTCAAGGGCTGCGTCCTCTCAGGAGGAAACAAGGTGAGATGGCCGAGCGGTCTAAGGCGCCAGACTAAGGATCAAAGCAGTTGCTGCTTGAGTCGTGGGATTTGAACCCACTGATATCTGGTCCTCCGGGGCGTGGGTTCGAATCCCACTCTCATCAGCTCTTTTTGTAACCCCGTTTCCAATCCCCACAACGTGCCTACACCATTGCAAGTAAGCGTCCGGAGAAAGGGAGGCGTGGCGATGCTGTTTGACAAGATACAATTTTTTCTGCAATTTTTGAGGAAGGGTGGAAATGTAGACATGAAGAGCCTGCATGCCGTGTTGAAGCCAACTCGCGAGAGTTTTGAGGTGGGAAGGCAGGTTGCGCCACAGCTACTTTGGAGTAGTGGCCATCATCCAGTCTTCTTGCATTGATTATTTAACCACGATCCAGGGAGTCACTGCCATGCGCAAAGATATAGTAGCCAACCGCTTACAAGATAGTTCTCCGAGGAAACCATAGGCAAGTCACTCCGCCCGTGGGAACCCGATAGCTTGAAGCGCCTGTACAACAATCGGGCGGTCTTCTTCTTCGACTCGATTGAGGAACTCTGCATAAAGCTCCTCGGTAATGAGGGGCAGTGTTGACGGATCGAATTTAATCCCCGACTGCGCAAGCTCGTAGGTGCAGAAACGGACCTAGGCGCGCTAGAAGTAAGACGACGCAAACGAGAAAAACATTCTGTAATAGGAGACCCACGTCACCGATATCGATGACACCTTTAATGGGTCTTTCCCACTTCCTTCTCGAAGCTGCCGCACGAATTTTCGTTACAAGGAGTACATGGAGATCTGCGACCGGGTACCCCTGTATTATGACGAAGTGCTCCCGCCAGATATCGAGCTCTTCCGCCGGAGCAATCTTCCCATCGAGGCCACAAAAATCGTGCTTTCCAGGACCCCACTTGTACTTGACCATTATTCCCTTGTCAGGGTGGTCCTTTACCACATTATCATCGATCTCTCGAAACCCTGCAGCGAGCTTTTGGCGTCTGTCCTGGGTGAGCAGTTCAATGTCGACATCCTAGTTCAGCACAGTACACTGCAGGTCAGAATTGCGGAGGAGGAGTACAGTAAAGAGACAATCACTTTGGTTCCGCGTTGACGCCCGTGGAGATAGAAGGCAGCTCCTCCAATCACTCTGTAGTCGATGTTCTCCTCGTGACAGATTTTTTGCAGTGTGTGGAAGAGAACATCCAGGTGTTCGTCTTGGCCAAGAGGCATACTGTAAGTCGGATGGGGATTCGAAAAAGGCCTGCGACTTGGCTATGGGTGAACAATCAGAATAATCAATTTTGATCATGTTCGAGTGTTCTGACTCGACGCGAGGAAATGAGTGTGGCGTTTAGTTGATGTGACTGTGACCGTTGGTTGTGACCATAGTGGAATGACTCGAAAGAACTTGATCCAAACTTGATCACTTACCAAAATCTTGATTCTTACAGCCTATAGGCCTTGTTTTGTAGAACCGCGCCATTGCAATGTGGAGCGTCTATTTGAAGGCGGAGCTCCCTTCCGACGCGTTTCTCATCTCTCGGTTGCGCCCAGCAGTTGCACTCGCAGACGCCAACATTCCCTGCATCGTATGGGGCGAGGAGGCGCTTGCATGGATCCACGGCGTCCCCACCTACACCTTCAACACCCTCCATCTTCTTGTGCCAGAAACCCAAATCGAATTAGCATCGAACACCTTGACTCGCGTTCTTCCAGAATATGCCCCCAACGACCCTCGCACCAATTATCCTTTCCCAGACTGGCTATTCGCACCGAGAGAGAAGGAAAAGTTTCAAGCGCTCGGAAGATTCCCATATGCGTCTCCCTTGACTGTGCGGCTCAGTCACACTCGTCTAGCTTCGGCCATAGATCATCCATCAGTCCGTCGCAACATCAGTACCCTCGACCATATCGTCCTCACGCCAGACTCTTTCTTCCATCTGAGTGCCACCGACACTACATCCCTCGTCTCGCTCCCATCATTGACCCCACCATCTCTCAGCGCTGTGCGCTTCTCGTCGCTTCCTACCATGTACGACGCGCTCTTCTCGACGATCAGCGCACCAGAGCGATCCGAGTACTCGACCGGGTTGGGGCAGGACCTCGACATATATCTCGGATACCTCCATCTATATTACTTCTCCGAGTATGTGAAGGGGTGGTACAAGGAGCTCAAGGACCTTCCCGAACCTATCCGAGAGGTCAGCCTAGCGCTCCGCGCAGAGAATCAGCCGAGGTTTTGGGAGATGTGGCTCAAGGATGAACCTTTTGAGGATGCTTCGGACGATGAGTCTGATTGGTAATTCTGTAACTGTAGCTTTGCTGTTTGTATCACGGCCTGGACCATTTGAACGTACAACGAAGGCCTCTTCCTACGTATTCTCGTTGTACCTTAACCTATTGCAAGCCTTCTGTGGTGCGACGTTTGAGCGGAAAGGACCGCCGCGCATCCAGAGCGGGCGACGTGCGTTCTAAGATAGGCCTCATGCACAGACGGCGGCATCGCAGTGCGGCGAAGAGGGTGGGTCGGCGTGGCGATCAGGATCCCGGATTTACGATGATTGTCTAGTCAAAGTATCATATGTACATACCTTGGTACAATTGCAAGCGAAAGCGGCTTCGCTGGTGGATGGTTTTAATGTTTTTGAATGTGTGCCGCGTGCGCAGGAGGGGGTAGACGGGGAAATGTCCCGATGACAACGGTGGAGAATGGGCGAATCACAAATCCATTGAGGGCATGTTGACAGATATCTCAGGTTGCTCACTGCTCAGCGCTCAGTGCTCAGCGCTCAGTGCTCAGCTGGGATCTGCTAGAAACAAAATAAATAAAAGTTGAACAAACGACATTTCGGACAGAATCAGGAGAAAGTTATCTATGCCGTGCTCTCGCTGTGGAGAGAGGAGAGATGGGAGATGAGGCTGCCAGGCACGTGTGCCGAGCATGATGAGTCCGGGCGAAGGTTGCAGGCAAACAGACAGTAACAGATCATGTTTGGTCGCCCAAGCTCTCTTGCACGGACTCCCCGAAAGAAGGCCGAACTCAAGCCAGCGCGGGCGAATGTATGTAGTACGAGTATGCGACAATGAAAAGAAAACGCGGAAAGAAATGTAGCAGATGATAAGGGAAAGCGGTAAGGGTGGGAGAGAGAAAAACACGAAAGCTAACAAGCTGTATGAGAGTATGGAAAAGCAGCGCAAGGAAGAAATGATGCATAGGTGCAGTAGATGTACGAAAGAGAAACGAAAGAAATCTGGGGAGATAAGCTAGAATCTTATCTCGTCGGTCGCTGGCATCGACCCTTGATATATTGGCCATTTGAGTGATGACATAATCTCCACAGCCCTTTTCTCCGGACTTTTCTGCAGTCCTCTATGCACATGCAGTGCGTCATGGAACCGAGACGCACGCTACTATGGTGCGGTTCACTTAGAGGCCGCCTGTTTATGACAACGATCAAATTTTGTCCGATTTCTTATTCCTCTTGCCAAAATGCTTCTTTTGATGAGAGGGCTAGATCGCCCAGACAGAATTTTGATATGACAAGAATTGCCCGAGATACATTTTTTTCAACCTCAAGGATTTGGCCACCTTCCTTATTAGGCCACCAAGACTTCCATATTAGGCAACGCAACTACCAAGCTATGCGTCAACTGTGCACAGAATGTGCACGAGCATCTTGGAAATGCACAGGGGAGACTTATTTAGCGGAATTGAAGTAGTAGTTTACGCCCCAGCGTCAAGGATTTGGCATCTCTCCGGTCAAATGTCAAAAAAAAATCGGCCGCGGCCAATTTGGCCACTGTCATAAACTGGCGGCCTCTAAGTGAACCGCACCATAAGTGCGCCTTCTACCAGTATCACTGCCCATTTTAGCTCATGCGTTGGTTCACTTCTTCGGCAATGCGAATCTTGTAAAAATGGCTCAACTATCGTTGGCCCCGCCGTATTACGGCTCGAGACCAATGTAATGGAACCGTGATTGCCTTCGTCTCATTTGCGCCTTGGTCCAACTACATTCCTTCAGAATGACTCAAGGGTTCCTCTGATTTAGGTCACGCTTTTCAAGAGGATGTACCGAAGGTTTATCATGCGTAGCTCGAAGCGTCGGACCTCGACAGATGGGAAGCTCCCGCCGTTACTTTGAGACGTAGTTCCCACTCCCTTTGAATATGGTGCGTCTAATAGCTAGTTTTGCATCGTACTGGACCGGCGAGTCGACTAAAGGCTTCTTCAGGCTTCTCCGCAAATATCCGGTTATACCCCGGACTCGGATGCCATTAAATGCACTCGGCCAATCATCTTTCTTGACAGTCTTCAGAATGCACGAGCAACGTGGAACGACAGGCCAGGTGATCATCACCGTCGACCTCAGAATAAAGCTCGGGCCCTCACGCACCAATCACAGCGCACTGTCGTGCACATCACGTTGAAGTCGCAGTTCTGCCTGTCACAAGGCTCTCACCAAGGAGCGAGGTTTAGGCAGAATGTCCACCCGAGTTTACGACTGGACGCTGCGCTGGTTATAAGTACGTTTCACCTTCATCGTTAACATCGAAGATGCTCCATCTCGTCCCTATTGCATTGGCCCTCGCAGCGCCTACTCAAACGGCGGCAAGTGATACAATGGATGGAGCCCTTACAACTCTCCCGTCGGCCATACCACCATCCAGAGGCTGTGGGTGACTTAGTGAGTCGATTGTACACATATCTATGAGGCGTTTGCGCTGATTGTTCCCCTCTTTTCTTGTATCGCAGCGACCCTATTCTGAGCGCAACTGCAGCGAATGTCGTGTGCAACAACGATGGTTCCTCTGGTCCTAACCAATTGACTGCGACCGTCGCTGCGGATCGGCGATCATTGCGTACTGGAAGGAGTGGCTACACCCTCATTTGGCATGAACTCTAACAGCGCTGAAATGGTACTTGCATTTCCGCTCTATTGATTCCCTGTTGACAAATCTTCAAACTTTAGTTCAAGATCGACGAAGCTGGCCTGCTGTCGCGTACCGTCGCCTTGCGCAAAGGATGATTGAGTAGAACAATACAGGAAAAAGCACGATTCTCGATTCTGTTCCCAGCGGCCACTACCTCATCCGCTTTGAGACACCGTCTTTCTGCTGTAC